CAAAGAATCCTGAAAAATAAAATGCATCACGGTTTCCACAAAAATTATTCGGCAGCACAACTGTTTTTGAACACTGAAAATGATCAGAAATGTTTCTTGAGCAGCAAATCCGCATAAAACTCAGCATAAAATAAATTACATTTTACAACATATCCAAACAGTTTTTTTTTTTATTTTAATAATATCTCACCCATTTTTGACCTAATAAATGCAGCCTTGGTGAGCAGAAGAGACTAATTTCAAAGCATATCAGCATAATAGAATGATATATATATGTTTATTAGTACTTATAAAGCACATATTAATGCCTTATTTTGCATGATCATATTGTAGATATCTTAATCCTACCTCATGCCTAAACTTTACTATTCATAAGCAGCAAATTAGGAGTTTATTGAGGCAAAAGTCATAGTTAATAGTGAGAACTGGACCCCAAACTAAAGTGTGACAGAAGTTTTTAAAACTGGACGTTTTGAACTCTAAGAGAACATTCAGAAATAATGTTTTCATAACTTAACGAGAACCTATTTCGCTAGCTGTTTCATTCTCTTTTACATTCACAGTTCTGTTCCTCTGCTTCCTTTATGTTCACAAACTGACTGACAAAATTATTTTCTGTGATAATCAACAGCATGCCACGGATATTGTCGATCAGTAACTAAGACGAACTGACTTTATTACTGTCACTTATTAGTCTGGCAGACTATTATACGCTGGGAAGATGTGTATATGTAAAATCTATTTACTATTAACTCCAAGGACAGAAAGAGCACAGAAACAGCTTCTTTTCATTCCTCATTCAGCAGCTGTAATATTACCGTCCTGCATGTTTTGTCAATGCATTCAAAGTCATAAAGATCTATCAGAATGCATATGACACCAGCGCATACTTCATTAACACTTCAAGTTCATTTATTTGACCTGGAAGAGATGCATGAACATTTCTAAAAAAAAAAAACGTAGTTTTTAGTAAGGGAAGAAAACTTTGCAAATGCCTTAAGACACTCAAAATACACATTTATTTTTTCAGATTTTTTACAATTATTTTTTTAAGAGATATAACCTTTTAACAAAGAAAATGTTACATGTTTTGTGTTCGGGTCATTTTGACCCGGTTATGTATGGAGTCCCATTAGGTGTCAAAAATGCTTTTTTGTTAAATTATCTATGAAGTTATATTATTCTCAAAAATCTCTATTCAGCCTTTTCCTCATATCGCACACACTTTTGGGACTGAATTTTGTTGATAAACATGAATATGCACACCTATGGACAAAGCATTGCAGCATTTTTTCATCAACCTTTTTTCATCTGAAGGTGAAAGTTTATGCAAGTGAAATGAATTTATTTTGTTTGTAGACTTTTTTATATTTTTAATATTTGTGTTGTTTTGATGTTTTGTTAGAAATAAATATGTAGGTTTTACAAACAGTCCATATTGGACTGTTTTTGATCATGAGTTATAAATTCAAAGGAATTTAATTTCCATTTATTATATAATTCTGAGATTAAATGTTTGTATACATTTACATACATACATATATATATATATATATATATATATAATCAGGTCTTTTTTAAGTGTGGTTCATGTGTAATTTGAAATACCAGAATTTCTCAAAGAATTTATTTTTTTATTAATAAAAAAAGGGATACATGAGAAGTTGCTTATCAGATACAATATGGTTTTAGCTGAAAAACACTATGTCTACGTAACAAAATAACAATTGTGTGAAATGCAGATTTTGAATGCATTATGAGAATTAAATTATTTGAAGATGGAGAGTGGGAATATGATTGAAACAACAACAACTCAATCTAGCATATAACTATTGATGACTGCATAAAAAACGTAAAAGCTTATGAAATACGAAAAGATCTGTAAACTCCAGCCACTGTCCATCTAAAAAGAGACGTTTAAAGAAATCCTTTCAGATTTTCATTGAGCAAAGCAGTCCGAACACAAAGACACTTTGTCATGTCCTGTAGATTAGTTCACATGAATGATAAAGTCCTGGGTTTGTGAAAAACTTTCATTGCCTTAGGCTGTATTGAACTAATGGCAGAGTTGGAATGATGCACAGCTGTCTCAGGACGCCACATCATTCATCTGTCTGTAGTGCTCTTAAAAATTGTTCTGGAAATAAAAGCCCTGGGGAGCTTCGATAGATAATGACGGTTTCTTCTTATTGATATAAAAGAGAAGAGACACAGAAATGGCCTATTTTATTGCCAGATGTAACGTCTTATGGTTTTGCTGCTTCATAGTAGCTAAGCACAAGCCTTTTAGTGCTCAAAGAAAATAAAGACAGAACTGTCTGCCATCATTTCATTTTATGAACCAATTGATTTTTACTTAAATGAGTCCTATTGGACAGTGCAGCTGAGGACTGCATTGAAATAATACTTGACTATGAGTTCTAAAACTGATAAAAATGCATGCATTTATATGCATTAATCCATGTATATTTCATATTCTCCAGTGCAACAGAGGATTGTATTGAAATAATAATAAACGACAATGAATTCTGAAGCTTTATAAATGCATGCATTTATATGCATTAATGCATGCTTCGACTACAAAGCAACAGAGGTTTGCATTGAAGTAATAAACAATTATGAATTCTAAAGCTGATTATAAAAAAAAAAATGCATGCATTTACACTACCAGAATAATTACAAAGTTTGGAATAATTAATTTTTTAATGTTTTTGAAATAAGTCTAA